CATAATACATCAGTAATGATATTGGCCGGATCATTTTCTATTTTAATGATTGGAAATGTAAGTATGTTTTTTGTTTTGTCAAAAAAAAAATTTACAAATTTTTTTTTCTCTTATCCTAAAGATAATCGTAGCATATTATTTGAATAGAAAATTTCAAATTGAATCATTACCAATAACATGGATTATATTGGAAATATTAACGCATTTTGCTATATTTAATCTAATAATATCTGTATTAATTTTATTAAAAATAAATCCAAATGTATTATTAGATTCAGATAAACGTGCAAATTGGCAACCAAATATGGATGGTTATCCATTACATTTATCAAGTACAATTAGTGAATATCTATTTTTCATTATACATTCAATAGTATTTTTAATATTTGCTAAACGTTTTTATCAATTTAAACATTGGGATAAAATACTTTTTAAATTAATTTCAAATTAAAAAATTTTTTTTAATAAACATACCGATTGTTAAAATTATAAAAATTATTATATTTGAACGCATTGATTTTGTTGTTGAATTTAAAATGACTTTAAACATATTTTATTTGAAAATTTCGCAATGAAGAATTCATCATTCAAAATGATGAATTTGATGATTGGTCGGTTGGTTTCATTTTCAGTTTTGTGATGATGCAAAAACAAAACAAACAAACAAAAAAACTTTTCGACAAACAAAACACTTTCAAAGTATTGATAATTGATAATGTCGATGACATTCGACACAGTCAAAATAGTGGAAACATTATCATTATTATCATTAAAGTTTTTTTTTCTTTGTTTGACAAGAAAACTTTTCAAAAAAAAATAAAATTTTCTTTTTTAGTTCCGATCCAGAATCGAAATCGGATGTTTTTCTTCGGTTGTTGTTGTTGTTCACAAACACTATCCAAAAAATGGCTTTTTTTATGCAAATGATGTTTACATTTTATTCGATGGAAATTGGAAAAAAAAATTGAAACGATAAAAATTTTAAAAAAAGATCCTTTCACACAGAATTTTGGAATGTTGAACACAAAAAATGAAACAAAAAAAAAAACGTTATCTTTAAGAAAAGGAAAAAAAATTTGACAATTTTTATCGAAAAAATCAAGCAAATTTTTTTTTTGTTGTTCATTGCTTATTGTTTATCAAATTGATTTCATACGATTCAATAGATTCTTAAATTGCAATCATGAACATTTATAGATAAAGATGCAAATGTATTTTTTACGAGACAAAAAAAAACCCCGAAAACAACAGCAACATTGTATTGAAGATGATGATTGTCAATGAAAATTTTTTCGAATGAAAATTTT